AAAAACGGCACTTAGATTGAAGAGCGCATTATAGTCTGCAGATGTGGAATCTGAATGCGATGCTTTAGATAAGCTTGAATATGTAATCCTGGGGTCTCGGGTTCGATTCCCGGCGGTGCCCGAATTTATAACTTGTGTTGGGCAAGGCCGTGGTCTACGCAACACGGAGTTTTCCTCCGGGGGCTTCCCCGGTTTCTCCGTGGCATCCCAACAATTACTCCATTCACACACAGAAGAAGGCAATGGCAAACCACTTCTGGATCATCTGCCAAGAACGTATACGAACAGGTCCCAGTCCGAGAATAGGATGGAAGGATCCTATTCATATGGACCTGTCGTCGGACAGAACACTAAATAAATAAATAATAAATGAACGAAGTATGTAAAGTCGATGTTAAAAGTATTACAGTGTAAAACTGTTGGCATGCTGTGTAAATGTAGACAGAATGTACAGAAGAGAGATGGCCAAAATGAATTTTACATAGTTTGACGTCAGAATGTGCAGGGAACGCAAAAATTATTCACTTATTTGAGTCACATTCACTCCAGTTTAATAAAATAAGCAAAATGTACTTACTGTTGCACGCCGGTATTGGATTTTGTGAGTTTTGAAGTATCGAATCCGTTAAGATTTGACTTTGTCGTACATTTCCAAATTGTCTGATTGCTTGTGTACAAATACATTATCGGACTTGACAGAATTTTAATTTTAAGATTATCAATTCAGGCTGCATGTCCCTGTCGTGTACGTCCAGTAATTTTACATAAATGTAATTTGTACATAATCGTATCGAATTCGGTAAAGTTTTTTATTCCCCGTGAAAAAACCGATGTAATTATCGCGTTTCAGTATTGTATTGTATAATATTGACGAAAACGTTTTATAAATGAAGATGGAATATTTTATTTAAAATTAAGGGATTGTGGGAGCAGACATTTTAGCACACAATAAGAAGAAGCTAGTAAAGTGGTTTGGTGGTGTTGAAAGAAAAGAAGAAGTTGTAATTTTGGTTAGTACTAAAAACTAAATTACGTTTGTAGCTGTGAAAATAAATAAGCCAAATGGTTTGTTCGCGACTTGACTAGATAACCAGGAAATACGATTTTGTCAGTAGATTATTTTCAGTTATTCTAAAATACAGAACTTCAACTGAATGAGAGAAGATTATATATGATCATCCAAATTTATCGAAATATCGGGAATTCACTGAGATATACGAAAACGGATTCGTAGTGACGACAAAAAGCGATTGGTCACGGCTATTACATTAATACCGTCTGAGTACTGGCCTATTCAAACTCTCCACTGCGTGAAATAGTACCCCAGGGTTGCGTGCACCGACAATCAAAAGCAGCGCTGCTGTCAATTCAACTTTCAGAACTATTTTCGTCTTTCCCTGTTGTTTGCATATCCACGGACTTCGCTGCGTACGGTCCAGCAAGTGGGGGGGGGGGGGGGCGTGTCATGTTTGTAGGCCTACGTACCAGGGGTTAATGAAGTGAGAGGAACACTATAAAACATATGTCATGCCGCTCTTCATCATTTAGCACAACTGAAGGTTGTGGTCGAGTGGTTAGTATCCTGATTCGTGATCTGTAAGTCCCGTGTTCATATCCCAACCCGTAGACGTGCCATCATAAGTTCATTTCTTGTTTCTCTCCAACTCTCTAGGCAAATTCCGGGATAGTATAGAGTGAATATAAATTATCTTTACAAATTTTCTGGTAAATATAATTATGAAAAGACATAGACACACAGTTTGAGCGTCATCTGCGAGAAAATCTCAAAGTTTTGTTCTGAACATTGTACGCATTTAACATGGGCACTATTTGTAACAAGTACAATGTCCAAATGACATTCAAGTTCCGTCCATGCACGCTACAACATTTCAACGTCAACTGTTGTAATAGCAGCTGCAAATCTGTCCTTCAAACCCTTCGCGTCGGCCACTGGAGTTTGCTATACACAGTCTTTTACGTATCCCCATAAAGAATTCACACGGTATGATATCCGGAGATCTGGCCGGCCAGTCCATCGGTATGGGAAATGTTGATGAAGAGATACACGCTAAATCAACCTCCTACGTGGTGGTGCTCAGGCTTGCTAGAAGAAAAGGACACGGTAGGCTGCAGAGGTAATTTCATAAACTGGCGTAATTTTCTGTAGCACTTGCAAGCATACAGACACAAACGTTTTCTTAACACCT